ATTTCTCTATTTGGAAGTGATACTTTCTACTCCAACTTTGCACGAATCTTTAAGCGCCTAATACAAGAATGTGGCATGCCTGTCTTACAAGCACTTAAAGGAACTCTGGAGGAGTTTGCAAATGCCAAGGAAAGGTCTAAGCAGTGTGTTGCTGCTGAAGCATTTGCTGGGGTGTTGCACTCTGATATCAGTGGTCTTTTAGGAGCATGGGACAACTGGATAATAGTTCAGTTGCAGACTGTGATTCTTTCTCAGTCAGTGGAATCTATTCCAGAGTGGGCAGCATGTATACGCTATTCAGTTACAGGAAAAGGAAAATACGGTACAAGAGTCCCTGTTCTGAGGAAACAAATTTTGGATTGTTTGATGACACCTTTACCTGCAGCTGTAAATACCACTGTTGTTGCAAAGCGCTACACTTTTCTTTCAGCTGCTCTCATAGAGATATCCCCACAAAAGATGCCAGTGGCTGAGTTAGAACTCCATAACAGACTTATGAATGAGCTGTTGGATAACATGTGGCACTCATCAGCGCAAGTAAGCATGTCATGTTCATTTATTTTCATAATTGAAGCTGGCATGTTTTGTCACTCTTATGAATCATGATCGTGTTGAACTTCCTTTTCCTTTTCTATTATGTGAATCCTAAAAGGAATGAGAAGAATAACAAAGAAACTTAAGTCTTTCTTGGAGAGTGGTTGAATTTAATGATTTATGAAAATAATAACCACAATTATTTTCTGTATCCTTCATTTTCTATAACAAATTGAGTTGTTTTTCTGATCATGTTGCTATGCTATATTGTCATGGATCAGGTACGGGAAGCCATAGGTGTTACGCTGTCTGTGCTGTGCTCTAACATTCGTCTTCACTTGTCATCTGCTCACGATTATTCTTGTGAAGAGGCAAGCGAGATTGACAACCAATTGAAAGAGGAAAAGTGGGTCCTAATTCTGACTCACCGAGCTACTGATGTGGTCACAAATATTCAGAATACTAGTCCAGCAGGCAACTTGGAGACTGCTGGGCATACAGCTTTTCAAAATGGGTCTTTGAATGGGGATGCACAAGATGATGTTAAGTGGATGGAAACGGTATTAATTTTCAGAAAATATTATATTTGCTTCCACAACTGTTAGAGTGATTGATTGATTGATCAATATATTTCTTCTTGTTTGATGCAGCTATTTCATTTTATCATCTCAACATTGAAGTCTGGGAGATCTTCTTATTTACTGGATGTTATTGTGAAATTTCTCTATCCTGTACTTTCTTTGCAGGTATGTATGGTGCATTTTCTTTGTTTGTGTTACTTGACTGGTCTTTGCCTGTGGTTTCCATCTAATTGCTCCAAATTTTCTGAACACCCTGATTGTTTGCCATTATTCCTTTTATGCTCGTTTGAGTGTTTGGGTTGGCTCACATACCTTAGGAAGAAAATAATAAGATTGAAGATTTTTGTTACGTAATAAATAAGAGAAATGGGAATGTATAGCTCCTTATTTCAACTGAATAACATTATTTTTCAGCGTGCACTTTCCTTATTTGGTCTTTATACAAATCTTCCACTTGATGCTTAGTCATTTTGCTGCACAAGCTGTGGTCATCCCTTCTCTCTTGTTGCCAGCATTTTGTTTCCAGTGATTTGGAATACATACTCGGATGCAAATTTGATGCACAATATTGTGGCTTGTTTAATTCTCTGGGGCATTTGATGTAGAAACAGCATATTTGAATTTATTGCCTGAACGTGCCGATAACATTGGGCATCCTGCATCTTTAGCTGACAAAGATATTGTTGCCTTTGTGAAGGAAACGTCAAATAAAGATTTGTCAACACTGGCCAAGGCATGTTTTGAATTGCTGAAATGGAGAATTTTCTGGGCACCTCATCTCCAAAGGGCTGTTTCAGTGATTCTTTGTTCTGCCAATGATCCGAACTGGCGGACCCGATCAGCTACTTTGACATATCTGCGTACTTTTATGTATAGGTATTGTGCATTTGCTGTATGCCTTATCTCTTGCATCATGGTTCCTGTTTTATCATGTTAACATGGTAATTTCAAGTTCTTATTTCCAGTTTTTGTAGCTTATTTATATTTATTGCAGTATATTGAGAAGTCAAACTTGTTTGAAGCAAGCAAGGAATTTCACTTTTAGATTTTCCACACAAGAATATGTATTAATTACTTGTTATATATTGCAATTATATTTTCCATGATCTCATGTTTTAACAAGTTATTTGTTATAGATCTGAATGTGAATATTTTTTTATGCGTTGAACGTAATTAGAGCCATGTTTAGTATTTTGTAGGAATCAGCTTGAGGTGTGGGTTAAGAAAGTATTTATGATTTGGATTCTTAAATAGTTGGCATGCTCTTTTTATTACAGGCATACTTTCATCCTCTCAAATGTGGAAAAACAACAAATTTGGAAAACTGTTGAAAGTCTCCTGAGAGATAACCAAGTAGAGGCAAGTTCCTGGCTGAATCTTCAATTTGATGAGTTTTGGAGATTTCTAGATGCAAATTTAGATTAGCTGGTGAAGATTAATCCTTTCTTCAATTGATAGTTTAATAATCATTGACCTGACTGATTTTTATTTATGATAAGATGTCAGAGATTCCTGAAATAAAATAGCATTTGTGAAATACCAAGTCACCAGGTGCATTAGGATAGTCCCTTATGTAAAGGTTTCTTTCATCGTGGGAGTTACCGAGGGAGTGAAGTCCTTTGAAAACAGGACAAGTCATTCTATTTTTGCTTTCAACATAAAAAGCTAATTCTTGGTCAGGTAAGGGAGCATGCTGCAACAGTTCTAGCAGGTCTAGTGAAGGGTGGGAATGAAGATCTTGCTAGAGACTTCCGTGAAAGAGCTTACTTGGAGGCGAATACCATCCATAGGAAGAGAAAGCAAAGGTTATATAATGATCTTCTGTTCTATAAGTTAGATTTCTCTTTCACCGAGGATACATTTTTCATGCACACATTGATGCACCTTTTGGAGTCCATGTCAAGCATGCATGAGGTTGGCCTTTGACATTGAAATTTCTTTTTATCTAATTGACATCAAAATACTATCTATGTTCCTCAGAGTCATCTTAGTTATTGTGTGTGGGATCCCCACTGGTATACCATGTTTTCATATCTGTTTTGCGTTTAGTACACAAGCAGCAAGTCCTGGTATGGATGATCTTGTAATTTTGACATAGAGATAGTATACCTGATTGTAGGAATCTGAAAACTGGCCAATCTATAGCATCTGTTCATGGTGCTGTACTTGCTTTGGTGGCTTCTGTGTTGTCAGTTCCATATGATATGCCCAGGTATGTTCATGTTAATATATGGAACCAATTGTATCAAGTGTTTTCAGAATTATCCTATAATGTTATTCGTTTTGTATGAAATGGTGATGATACGCAACTTATGGCAAGTTGCTTCATAACCATGTCAGATCCTCCTTATAGTGGCAAGTGGTCAAGTTATCATATTAGTGTTACCTGACCAGCTAATGTGCCTTGTTGAAGTAGTGTTTTGAGTAACAATAATATCAGGCAGCGTTTCTATATTTATCAAGAGCTGAATGAATGAAGGTTGTCATTTTCTTAATATCTGTACTTCGAACTCTGCGGGTATAGTTTTGACTATTTTCTTGATGAGATTAACTATAATCCTGCTGACTATTTTTCTGTTCTTAAGAACCATAGGAATTGCAATTCTAATCTCAGTCCTCTTGCCTTTGTGAGGTTCGCTAACTGCATAGTCATTTATTCCTTGCTATGGAGGATAATTAGGGACATTGAATCGTGTTCCAACTCAAAATGCAGGTCATGTCATTAGTGCTTGAGGATAATTAGGGACATTGGCTCTTGGTTTAAGGTGGTGCTAATTAATCAAACTTAAAAGAAGTGTTTCTGGAATTAGCTAAAATAAGCACAGTAGAGTTGTCTTCTTTCCTGGGCCATGGGATTTAATGAGAAGCAAGGTCTTGTATGGTTGGTAAGATATCCAAAAATGCATGGCTGTTTAGGAAGATAGTTGAAATGCCTTTCTGGTTCTTTTTATCTGTTCTTAATAACACAATCGTGGATTATGTCAATTACGACAGCAGAAATTGGCTGATACACTGGGGTGTAGAGGAGATGTCGAATTGAAGTACCTGCTTAGTTATATAGAAGCTTAAAGAAGAAATAGTTGTGCTAGACACACCGTTATCAAATGACATAATCATGGTTGGGATCAATCTAATTTGTTTAAGACTTGCTGAAGCTCTCTTGCTACTTTTTTTTTTCTGACTGTCATAACCGGCTGAGAAGTACTTTTTTAGAGCGACTTAAATGGGTTCCTGGAAACTCTTACTCTTACACCCACCACACCAGAAAGCCATTCTGTGACTCTTAACTTGCAGAATTTTGAAGAGATCTGATTGTTGATTCTTTTTGAAGGAATATATGAATGCATATAAATATGATAGCTTTGGCCCCTTGTATTTTACTTGATAATTTCATCTATTCAGTTGGTTGCCTGATCATGTTACTCTACTGGCTTGTTTTGGAGGAGAGCCTTCACCTGTGAAATCTACGGTTACAAAAGCAATCGCCGAGTTCCGACGAACTCATGCGGACACATGGAATGTCCAGAAAGATTCATTTACTGAAGAACAACTCGAGGTAGCCTTATAAATGTTTGTCACATTCCTTAGGTTGGAGGATTTAAATACCTTTCGTGATTTGTAAACCTCTACTTATTTGATACTGGCAGGTTCTAGCAGATACGTCGTCCTCATCATCATATTTTGCTTGATATACATAGCATTTTTAGCAAGAGAAGATACTGTAGGAACTTTTTAATGATTGAAAGGGTTTCAACACCAATGATTTGGTAGAACAAGAAGAAGTTATGCGATTCTAGGGTATAATTTGTATAAAAGTTTATTTACATTTTTCATTATTTGTGATAAGATATCTGTTATTGTCAATAAATGAAGGGTGTCATTGCCTATTTTGTGATGTAAATATCCTTAAACTATTGAGTTCATTAGATCATCAGATGGTAAATCCCATAGAACGCAGTCTGTATTGAAGAAGGATGAACCATTTCTAATCTCTTTCCCGCCCTGGGATTCTTCTCCATTCTCATGATCGAGCTTTTCATGCAATCTACCTTGTTGGTCACCTGCTGTGCACGTGCTTCCAGTGCACATACTCTGACTCCATGGCGATAAAGCTACTTCGTTGCCAAAAGAAGATGGACCACATAAAAATGCATTAACTGATGAAGGGAGGTAGGCGCAAGTGCCTGCAAAATTGGCAGAGGTAGCACCAGTGGAATCCCAGGTCTTGTTTGGGGGCAGAATTCCAGGTTCTTGCATAGCCCTCGAGAAACCAAGCGTGATTCTCTCAATAGTATCATTATTTTCATCATGTTTAGTGGCAATATAAGGGGATGAGGCGTTCCCTTGTACTCCATTTGTGTTGCATTGTAGCAGCTGGAAGTCAATCCGCTTTTTAGTGAGCAGGTGGAGCATTTCATCCTTGAAGCAGCCAAGGGCTGCTTCTGCAAGGTTAGCCACCTGCGGTGTTGCTAGTGTAGTGGCAATCTCTGCCATGAGGTGGGAGAAGGGCTTGTGGGTAACTGGGTCTATTCCCATGCCAGAAAGCTTCCTTTTCAGCTTGGTGTTCCAGTGATTTTTAACATCATTGTCTGTGCGGCCTGGAAGCTGAGCAGCAATCAATGACCATCTGTGATGCCATTTCGCAATCAGTCATTGAATAGCAGAACTTGATACAAAAAAAGGTTTATGCAGCATGTATTGAAAGACTGAGCAAATATATATAGATATTGATTGGTGTACCGGTTGCCAACAACAGAGTGAAGCTTGACGATGGTATGTTCTTCTGCATCTGAAAACTGGCCGTGCTTCAGATCAGGCCGGAGATAATTAGTCCACCGCAACCTGCAACTCTTCCCACATCTCTGGAGACCTTAAATCATACAAGGACATAAAAAAAACAATGTTAATCGGGTAATAAATTATAGCATATGAATGATGATGCTAATAAGAACATTAACGCGGAAGGGGGGGAGGGACAGAAACCAGCATTCTTGGGGATGAGCCGCCAGTTACGGGTGCCGTGCTGGGCGATGTAAGAAGAGAGTTTGTTATCTTCTTCAGGTGTCCATTGCCCCCTTTTCACGTTGTCCTTCTCACAACACGGAATCCTGCCCATCTGTGTGTGTTTGTCTTTTGTTTACTCTTCTTCTCTCGCACGATCCTCCTTAAGAAATGCTAATACCTTGGCTGCTATAATGCTGTCTACTAATGAATGATAAGAAAACTGACTAGTGCCTCAAGTTTTGGGGAAGCAAAATTATAAAGAAAAGAAAACAAGTGGAAGTGAGAAAAGAAATGGTAAGCGGGCCCATTCTTATATACAGAAACAAAAGTTTGGTTTGCATATGAAATATTGCATGGGGTTGAATTAAATTGGAAATAATAAAAATGGCATCGAAGGTGCATGATTTTGTTAAACTATTCAACGCTATTGAGAGTGTGAGAGGTGGGCTGGTAGCTCACCCACAAGACACCCGGTCAACTCTCTCTCTCTCTCACTTGTTGACTCCCCTAGGAGGTCCTTGCTGATGTTTTGGGTTGGGTCGCTTTCTGCTTTGATCACACAATTTTACCACCGCCTCCATAGTAGGAGTCTCGAATTCCTTGAAAGCAGAACATGTGAAGTTTAAGGTTGTTCCACGTACGTGTGGCTCATCATTTTGACGCACGCAGCTTCGAGAGAGAGAATGAGTGGTCTTGTTTTGTTCAACTCGCAAGAATGAAGCCCATTGATGCAGCAGAGTAGACACAGCCAACTGCCCTTGTACTCTTTCTAATTACTCCGTACAAAACATCTTGCCTGAAACCTTGTTGACGGTGGACAACCTCTTTCAATGCCGCCAGTTAAGTGTTCATGTGAATATCTATTATCTAAATACTATTTATTATTCAACATAAAAATAATTATATACATCGAAAAACAAACACAAATTATCGGATCAAGTAAAGCTTTTCCCATCTTACATTTTATATAATATTAACTCACAGGAACCGTGCTTCAAACAATTCCAGGTTCCATGTAGTTCTGATGATGAATCCATGGCTTCTCAACTAAAACTTGGAGATGCCTTCACCATAATCAGTAATTCTGCCTCAGGACATCCTTTTACTCCCTTGGCACAATCTTGCACTCATCAGCCCTTCAACTGATCCAATCAAAGCAAACGCTGTCACCAAAAAGCAAATGACGCTGAAGGCCCCAAGCATGATCCACTTACTTGTCCATGCCTCAATATTTTTCTGCTTAAAATACATTTCCACAGGAAAATATACAGCTAAGGGCCAAAAGCCGAATCCTCCTACCAATCCAATAACCTGGTTAAAGTAAGGAAACATCACTGCAATCGCGGTTGTTGATACAACGTAGATCGCTCGGAAACACAATCTGAGAGATTCAATTGGAAACCTGGAAACCGTGGGAATTTGTAGGTGAGATTCTTATTCAAAAACCTGTTGTCTGGATATTTCTCTGCAACCCAGTTTTCAATGACTGCAAATAATGGCTGGCTGTAAACCTGTCAGCAAAATCAAACCTTGTGAATACTTCAGGGATTGTTACTTCTACGACGCTACTACGAAGGTGCATCAGCTCATCTAGTTATCATGAACATTTTATACACACATACCTGATAGCCACCAACTAGATGAAGCACGATACAAGCATTGGCGAAATCATTAATCCAGTACGGTTCATAAAATCCAAATCCTGTCAAGAGGTTCTTCCCTGGTGTTTTTTCACCGAAAGCTGCATAACCAAAACCTCCACAGCAGAGGTGCAACAACTGCTATTTTCGACGCCTTCTTCAGCTGCATAACCAAAGCCTCCGCAGCAGAGGTAGAAAAATGTGGTGACGACAATTGCTATTGTTGATGCCTTCTTCATGTTCTTGCTTTCTGATGGAGGTGATTTTAAAGTATCCTTTACGATTTCCAAGTTTCAACACATACAATTAGTCTATTGGAAGAACTACACTGGTGTTTGATCGTTTCAGCTTAAAAACTTACCCATCCAGAATCACAATTCATACCTGTATTTCTAGTAGAATTAGGGAATATGGATATGCAAATGCAATATCTCCAAGTGCTTGAGATACATTCCATACTTTATCAGCTGCCCTATAAGCTGAGACTCCTGCGATCCCACCCTTAACAAATCCATTTGCTGAAATTTTAGAGACAGCAGAAACTATTCAGAATAGATGGAGCTAAAAGTTTGCAGGAACAATGACCCCGACACAAGATTTGGAGGGCCAAAAATAGCTGATGCTGTACCGCACCTATCACTTGTGCAAACCCGAGTGCAAATCCTATAGAGGCATGGCTGACTGACATGATCGCAGCAACAATTGATAGCCATTGTAGGTTATGAAAATCTGGTACTTGGGACAGTACAACTTGAACCACTCCAAATAGTAGCATATATAAAGAGCCTCCATATTCACAAGTAGCCTCGTGCCCTTCTTTGTGATAACAGTTTGATTTCTGAATTGCCCTTCATCAGAAAAAGAAAAAGAAAAAGAGTAATTGCTTTGTAAGGAACCACAAGGGCAATGCTTGTTATTGGAGGATCGTTGACATTTAAAGATCATTGGAGAAACTGTTTAGTAAAACCAATTATATATATTTGCAGGATAATAAAAATATATACACAAAAAATAGTAACCAAAATATAAGTATGGATATATAAAATCCTTGTTGAATTGTAGAACTTCAGATGAAAACTATAGACAAAAACCATGAATCTAAGAATGATCAGTCAATTTCACTTTCATCATAAATGGTTTTAGATAATATATATAAAAACCATGTCAAATTACATGAAAACGCCAATAGATAATGAATCTGGGATTTGAGATTAACGTAAATACAACATAAATAACTCATGCTGGTAGCAGTAGTAATAGTGGAGGCAATTCCTGTCCCGTAAAAGCCAATTTGTGCGAAGACGCCACATACCAATGCATTCCTTTTTCCTGGAACATGTCAAAGCCATTTAATATGTCAATGACATAATTAATTGGGATATGATCTTTCTCTGAATCTATAGCTTCAACATGATTTTGAATTATTAACAGATATGTCTAAATCAAATCCAATTAAAAAGAAATGAAGTGTGTTTGGTAATGCAGTAAAATGTGTTTTCCTCAAATTGTACTGAAGCAGGAAACCATAAAATTGATGCCCTTTTCAATTTAAAAATGTATTGAAAAACACTTTTAAATACAATGCAAATGATATTATATAAACAACTAAAAAGACGAGGGTTTTTATGGTGCCAAAGCACCTTCCCAACTCTTTTGT